TTGGACTTGTTATTAAAAAAACCACGCTGCTTGTAAATACCCAGCATAATGTTTCCATTCTGACTTAACATAATGTTTCTGGGGCAAGCAATAGCCTCCACTTTACTTCAGTTCAGATAACCTCTTTGAAACCTGCAACAAAGATACACCTTTGTCCTGCAGGTTCTTGTCATGGAGAATATTGTCTGATAACTTTGACTACTTTCCTTTTTGGCCAAAAGATGTGATTGCAGATCACGCTCCAGCAGAGTAGGTTATGAATAGAAAGCTCTTTCCTAATCATTGTGGTCTTCAAAAATTATTTTCATTATACAGAGGTTTTTTTCTGCTCCATTTTAATGTACAACCAATTAAGAGTTCTTCAGGTTAAGTTAATATCCACATCTAGTTGGTTTTGTTTGACATCTGATTACTTTTTTTTTTTTTTTTTTTTTTAGCGGTTTTATTTCTTGCTTATTTTTTTTTCCATATGATTAAAGTTGATGGTCCAGAAACTTGTTTAGGTCTATATTGTAGTTCTCTATACAGGCTGCATCTAGTTAACTTGTTTACATGATTGTCAGAAAGCGTACTGCATTTTCATATTGTCACAACAAAGTGAATGGATTTTCTTTTTTAGAAAGTTTTCTTAAACACTCTAGAAGTGGAAACTTTAATGTGCTTAGCTTATCATGGAAAAATTGGTACCAAGTCATATTTTTAAAATTACAATTAAAAAAAAATCTTTTTAATTTATTGCAAGGAAGAACTAAAGCATAAATTTGGATTTTAAAAGTTTTCAACAGTTTAGAAGATCACAGTAAGCTATGGCCTGCTTTTGGTTTTAATTCTTCTTTATTTATTTAAAAAGTTCTTCTTGAGACTTTCATGTTAATAGCTGAAATTTTATGTGAGGTTGAAGAGTCATTTGTATAGCTTTTGTGTGGAAATTGGTGTTGACAGTGAAGAGGCTGCAGAGTTGCCCTGACCAATAGCAGACAACTTCAGTCCTAGTCTAAGACTTCTGCAGGCCCTGCTGCATAGTTAATCTTTTCTTAAGAGTACTTTTTGTATAAGACACAGACCAAATTTGCTTTTTCTGTTTTTAAAATTTTAGTTGAGGGTTCAGGGTTAGTCTGGTTGATGTATTAATGGTTCAGATTAGGTTTATGAATGACTGCTGTGTAATCAGAAGCCTTATTTTGCAATAATACTGTAGTTAGTTAATGAACATTAACTTGGGTTGACACAGGTATAGACACCAGTGTATCCGAGGTACACTTATGGACTTAAGATTTGTAAAGATACTTACTTTTTCTCAGTATGCTCTGTTCATTATGACTGTTTCATGATGGTTGAGGCTTCAAATGCATATAAGAATTATAGGACTGTATAATGTGAAGCATTTTTTAAAAATCCTAGTAAATGTTTTAGAAACTAGGAAACCGTGTTTAAATGTAGAAAAGTAAGCAACTGTGTGGCAAAATACACAATGAAACAATCTCTTAAAGCAGATCAAAAAAGAGGAATTAGAAAAGGGAGTGAGAAGTTTCTGTTTCTGGAAAAAGCTGGGGAAATGCATGCACCCCAGTGAGTGATAATCTGAGGATTTTTATGAAAAAAACTTTTTTTTTTTTTTTTAGGAGTTCTGACTAGGTGTGTTGACTTTAAAGGTAAAACTTTCAAGTTCTGTATAGCTTCATAAATCGAACCAGTTTTAACTTTTATACAAAAATGGATGTGTAAATATTTAGAGGCTTTGTTTTATCGACAGTGTTTTTTGATTTATTTCTGTGAAATCAAGTGTCCGTTCTGGAAGCCATCTAGTGAGATAGGTTTAAGGTAATGAAAGGTATGATGGTACAGAACTAATCTGTAGTCTGTGTTTTTTTAGCATGTCTGTTTTCATCACAAAGTCTCTGTAGAGAAGAAAATAGCCATTCAGGCTACTTAATACAAACAAAAAATACTTGTATTTCCACAAATATTTTTACAACTTTTTTGAGCAGAAACAGGTTTATACCTTTTATTTCACCATGAATAACTTAAATTACTTAATCTGTGAAGTGCACTGTTCTGAGCATTCATTGTACTCTGCATCCTCTATGATGTTCAATAACACACTTAGAATATGATGTACATGTAGATAGTCATGACAGTAGAGATGTATTCTTTCATAATATTTGAACTGCTGGTTTTGTAACGTTAACCATTTCAAAAGATTGGAATGCTAGCATTAGACACCATACCTTTTTGACATCACTTTCTCTAGGTGTTTAGTCTGGGTGCTGGTACAAAAAATACCATTCACAGGTGTATTTTAACACATATTTAAAACACCTGCAATAATACAGCTACAGAATAGTGTCTCCATATTGTCTAAAAGAATTACCTAGACGATGTTGTTTGGATGTAATCCAGTTTGAATGTTTATAGCAGAGAAGCTCACCCAAACTAAAGTACTTTTACAGACCTCTTGGAATTTAGTGGGTTTGTATGACATATTTTGAATCCTCTTATTCAAGAAATGAGTAAATACCCCTAACTGGTCTTCAGGTTTGCCTTCACTGCATTGTTAGCTCTAGTTTGCATTTGAGTCAGTTTATTCTGTGTTCAAAACTGCAGTATGGGTGAAAAATAATTCCAGCTGTTTTGATATGGTGGTGCGGTTTGAAGCTCAGGTATTGCCTGTGTGAATTAATAATATAGTAGTGAGTTGCTTCTTTGCTTAAAATAATTCATCTGTGAAGACAAGTCTAGCTACATTAAATATGTTTTGAAATTAGTGCTAGTAGTTGTTTTTAAATTTGGATGATAGTTGTTTTCTGTTTGGGTTTCATTGTAAGGTTCTTGAAACTGTAGTTTGGGAGACTTGCACATGTAACTACTCACATGCCCCATTGTGCTTAATTCCCTTGCTTTTGTCTGCCAGTGAACTTGTCCTTAGGTGGACTATGATGGATCCAAGTTCAAGTTTAAACTTTACATGTTTTTGTTTAGTATGGTAAGATTCTTGTTTGTGTCTTGACTTACAGTTGTCTTGTTTACTTTGAACACCATAACATAGGATTTTGTATGTAATACTTAGATAACAATGACTTTTACTAATGACTTGCTGTTTTAAGGGGGGCTAATACCTAATCAGCTGTCCTAGTCACATGTTACTGAAAAAACATATAAAAATTGTGTAACACTTTTTTTATGTCTTCAGTCTTTGTAACACTTTTTGACCCTTTGTAAGTTCTTTTTGTGAAAGCCCCTGACCAAATGACTGGGTCCCTTTACTGATACATTGAAAGCCAAGCCCTGTAACTAGATACGGCCACCTCTTTTTTAGAAGTTTGCCTGAAACTTCAAAATACGTCTGTGTGCCCTAGCTGTTACATCCTTGCAAGCTGTCAAATTTGGATTCTGCGTTTTTTTTCTGGTTTAGATTTCTCAGCTACTTGACTGGAAAAGGTCTGGTTTGTTTTTCTTTTAAGAGTACTTGTGACCTGTTATGAACTATTTCTACTGTAACTGCATAGAAGCAGAAGTCCCCTTTACACTGAGATTTCTAATCTCATTTGATTTATGTATTGATACTCCTATCATTTCTTATTTTTATTTTTCTAAGGTTCTGCTCAAAATTAATCTCAAAAGTTACAATTAAGGTAATCAGAAAATAAAAGTTTTTAGAATTTTGTAACATTTTATTCTTACGTAGTAAACAAAATTTCATACTAAAACTCAGCCTCTTCTAACCTTGAGCATCTCTCCAAAGAAAAAAGCCAAACACTCTTTTAGAGAAGAGTTTCCCAGGCAGTTATTTTAGCTTTCATTTGTATTTTTGCCTGAAATATGGAATATCCAGATTGACATTCCCTGCCTAGTTTAAGGTGGGTTTAAAATCCAGATCTTCAATATTATGAGCAAGCATCCTGGGTGAGGTCTTGGATCCATATCTGTCTTTCCACTCTTCATCCAAGCTGTTTGGTGCTGTAGAGACATTAGTCTTGACTGAATCTGGGAGCAGATATCTCCAATGGGCTTGATGGGGATAAGAGAAGGAGAAGCTAAAATTGAAATATAGTGGTGTAGGTTTCTTAAAGGAAGGATGCTTGAAGGGACAGTACACCTATAGTAAGTAGAAATACTTTATGTGCAGAAATTTCTCACAGTACTGGAATGGAGGAGAAACTTTCATGTTAACTGTAAGTCAAATTCAAAATTAAGTAACTCACAATAATTAGAACAAATTGCCATACAGTATAATTGAATTTAAGTACTAAGCATTTCTATGGGTAAGAAGTGTTGGTGTTTGCTAAAATGAGATTGATAAAAAAAGGATATAGGTCTTGGTTGCTTCAGGAGAAGCTGACAAGTCTGAAATTAATTATGGGCAGATATATTTTTGAATGTTTTTCTATTCTGCTGTGGGAATGTTAACAGCTCTTGTTTTTACATTCCTAGTACAGCTCATTATCCTGTCTGTGAATCCTGAGCGATGTAGTTGGATTGTGCATGATAGACTTGGTCTTTATTTATAGCTTCTTGTAGTCTGGTCTCTGAATAAATAAAGCATGGCTCATACCTTCCCCTTAAATTTGACATATTAGCCTGTTTGTAAAGTATGGACTGTAAGGTTTTTGTTCATAGTATGTTTTCCAGTGAAAGATTGGAATCATGAGTAAAAACATAGTCTAAGAGTATATGAACAGTAAAAGAAAAAAACGCTAAGGAATTTTTGGCCTATGTTTGTCCTAAAAATCCGGGGAAAAAAAATCCCATATGTAATACTGACAGCTTTCAGTCCAATAGCTTGAAGTGGAATTTTTTTTTTGTGTGTATTCCTAATAAATACTAGGTTCTATAGAGTAGATTACACTAGATATCAAATATCTTCAAGTTTTGTTATGTTTTTTTTTCTTATAACAGTAGTTAAGCATTTAATCTTCTGAATATAATATGAATATTATACTAGTGAGTAGTTGTCAGGTTATATTGGAGAAAATGAAAATTACTGTCTATCTTCTGTTCAGAGTCTTCATCTGTGGACAAGTCTGTATCCCATTCTTGCACAACTCCTTCCACATCTTCTGCTTCTGGACTGAATCCAACTTCTGCGCCTGCTTCATCTGCTCCTACAGTTCCTGTCTCACCTGTCCCACAATCACCAATTCCTCCATTACTTCAGGACCCAAATCTCCTTCGACAGCTGCTTCCTGCTCTGCAAGCCACCTTGCAGCTTAATAATTCTAGCGTAGATATATCCAAAATCAATGAAGGTAAGGATTCTTTAGTTGCTGTAATTTCTTATTTACACACATTAGTATATTATTGGATACTAAGCTGTAGTAAATGCAAGCCTTACTTTAAATGAAAAGAATAAATTAATCCCTAGATAAACTGGAATGGTTTTGGTTTGGTGGTGGGTTTTTTTTCTATTAAACCTTTCTAAATGAGTGAAGTAACATTTAAGGTTGATAAGCTAATAAATGCTGATGTACATGAGCAGTAATTGAGACTGGAATCGCTGTATCAGCAGTCTTCTATCGCATAAAATTTAGTTAGAGCCTTTTGTTCTTTTGTTTCGTGCAGTGTTCTTTGTTTTCTGTAGTTTGTGCTGCTATTCTAATAATATGTGTTTGCGAATACTGAAACTTCTAGGGATTCTTAAATCTTGTTGCCTGTCAACTTTTTTCTTTAGCAGAGCATGTTAGCTTCTCTGAATAAAGATAGCATATCAGTAGTTTTGCTAGCGAGTTAAATTTTGTGCATGTAACAGGTCTATCCCTTAGATTTTGTCAGGTTGGCTTAGTTTAGCTAGTTCTAAACTTTCTTTTAATACAGTGCCTTTCGCTGCAAGAACAGATAGTGTTATACATTTTGAATGTAATTTTAATGTGCTGTCTGCATGTGGCAGGTTATTGATGAAGAAAGTGGTGTGAGATTTTTTTGTTTGCTTCTTTGAACTTCTTGTGCACTGATCACAGATTTAAATAGGAAGCAAACATTTACATGTAGTGCCCAGAGTTAATCATCTTTAATTTTTTTAAAGTGCAAACCATGAAAGTCAAAATAATATACTTGAAATTTTACTATTATGTATGTTACGATTATTTATAAGGAAAAGCTGTCAACCGACTTCCTTTTAATCTGCAAATAATATGGCTTCATTCAATAGTAATAGGTGAGCAGGTTATTGGTTTTTTTCTCTGCAGGAAGAAGCTTTTAAAATTGTAGTGCACTAGGTTGGACTAAAGAAGTAGGAGTCTTGTGATTGTGTTAAAAAATGAAAGGTCCAGTTAAGACTCCAGTTGTATTTTATTAGAAATCTGCCAATTTAAGTTCCTAGTCATTTTCCCTTGCCATATCTGAGCAGCAGCTGTGTCTGTCTTGGAACAAGAGTGTTTAGTATTGTGCTGATGGCATGAGGGCCTGGCTGCAGGTCTGTGTGGGCAGAGTGACTTCACCTTTCACAGCAGGACTACCCGTACTGTACCCATGATGCAGAGTTATTCTGTGTTTGTGCTGGTGAGTCATTTTTTGCAGACTTGTGCATGAGTAGTGTACATTCAGAAAGTATCCCACAGAGCCTGTAGACCTTTTTGAAAAGATGAGTTCAGAAGCTGGGTCTCATCAGCTCGTACTGTAAGATACTCTTCCTGTGTAATGCAGTTTTAAAATGGTTGAAAATATTTTTTTTACTGGAGGAGGAAGGGATGGGACAGCTAATCCCTGAATGAAGTAAGTTTTGTGGCTGTTTTTTTGGGGTGGATGGTTTGTTTGGTTTGGTTTTGGGTTTTGTTTTGTTGTGGTTTTTTTTTTTTTCAAGAAGAAACACTGAGTGTCTGGGTGTTCAACTTGAAAGATCTTTTCTTTTTCCTTGAACAGAAATCTTCCCCCTTGCACTCTCCATCTCTTTTAATGAGTTAGTGATACTGCTTTTTTGCCTTTTTTTTTTATTGTAGTTTAAAAAACCCCATGCATTCTGCTTACTGCACAGACAAATTGAACAGATGTTATCTCTCTGTTTACAAGAATTATTATTGATCCAGAAGGTCAAGCTGAAGAGTTACAAGCTATTTTCTAAAACAATTTTTTTTAGTGTATGTCTCAAAGATTAAACTACTAAATAAACCAGGACTTGGATAGACAAGCCAACATTCATTAATTGAATCCAAATTATTGAAAAATAGTTCAGGTGTCTCTTTGGTTGATTGTGAATAAGGAAACAGAATTGGAAAGAAAAAGCAGCTTAAATGTATTTAGCCAGTTTGAACAGATTAAAGTGATGTTCTACAATTGTCAGTTAAACAGAATGTTTGTTTTTAGTTCTAACAGCAGCTGTGACACAAGCCTCTCTGCAGTCTATACTCCATAAAATTCTTACTGCTGGACCATCTGCTTTCAATATCACTTCCCTAATTTCTCAAGCTGCACAACTGTCTACGCAAGGTATTCAGTCGTCTTTTCACTTACGTAAAATTGTTCCGTTGCATTTTATAAAGGCTGATACAACTGAAATTTGTAGAAGCAGTCTCTTGTATCTTTGTCCATCTGGTGTGGAGGATGTCAAACGACTTCTGTTCCCAAAGATAGGATAAGAAATTGTTACTTGGGGAGCAGGAAGCTGATACATGACTAAATAAATGGTACTTCTCTGTTTCACATTTTGGGATTTTCTTTAAATGTTAACTCTATATGAGTAATGTAAAATGTGCAAGACCCTCTCAATTTATTCAGAACCTTAATTAGACGTTATTTAATGCTCAGTACAGAGCACAACTCTTCCTTTAGTTGAACACCCTTGTAATACTGTGAAACTGTGACTCTTGGAGGAGGCCGTAAATTCTTAAAAGGAAGTTTATTCTGTCTGGTGGGGGTGTTTTTGTGATCTTCTATAAATAGTATTTTTCAACTTCCAGGGAATGTATTCCTTCAGGTATCTTCAATACATTTTGGTTTGTAACTTAAAGCTAGAAACTTAAACCAAAACAATAAATGCAGTCGTGTTATTAAATAGGTAAGCAGTATTATCCTAATTTTTAACCAGTAATAAAAACATGCATGGAGGACTTGTGTTGGTAGATGCCTAGAATGGGTGAATAGGTTTCTAGATAAGCTGCTCATGCATTCTTTCAGTTAAATATAAGTGCTTTAGAGTTAAGCACTCTAAAATAGGAATTGCAAATGAAACTAATTTAGTCTCTTCATGTGTAAAAAGCATTGCATAATAGCTGCTGCTTTACCCCTCCTCTTAAGTTTTAGAAGTGGAGGGTTTGGGGAAAATACAAGTCTTAAGTTAGGATTGTTGTTGAACATTTGATTGTTTCAGTTCACCCCACCACCTGTCTCAAGGTGAATATGTTTGTATATAATCTAATACATCATACTCCAAAGTACCGAAAGAAAATCTAATACACATTTAAGATAGGATAAAGTTTTATTAAAAACAATCTTTTTTTTTTTCTTTACAGCTCAGCCATCTAATCAGTCTCCAATGTCTTTAACATCTGATGCCTCATCACCAAGATCATATGTATCTCCAAGAATAAGCACGCCTCAGACTAACACCGTTCCGATTAAACCTTTGATGACTACGCCACCGGTATCATCGCAGCAGAAGGTAAGCTGCTTTTGATTTATGCCATATTGTGGTAAGAAACCATTAATAAAGTATTGCTGCTATATATTCATGAGCTAGCAATTATATATAGGATGGTAAAATATGTATGTTATCTTTCCCAGTAGAAACAGAAAAAAATGGAAGCAAATATGTGGCTGTACTTTTTGCAGTATAACTCTAGCATGTAGTTCTAATACACTTCTATGTTCTTGAAGAAAATCTTGTGCTCACTTCAGATGCTCTGTGGAGATACTACCAATCAGTATTTTAACATATTTAAATGGAAACCAAAACTTACTTCAAAGGCAACAGCTGATACAGGTCTCTATACTTGAGCCAATAAAAGTTTTTTAGAATGGGAGAGAAGTTCTTGAGTGAGTTGACTTGATGTAGTCTCAAATTTGGTTTAGAAATGTTCTAGGTGTTCACAAGGTCAATAATGTTGTGTCTCTTTCCCTTCCTGTCCCCTCACCCCCATTCATTCAGAATTCCTTAATTGAAGACTAATAAACATTGATTGAAGCTACCACGTAAGCTCCTATGGTTCTTCACAAGGATGAAGTAGAAAACATAAAGTTGTCTTTTCTAATTTTTGTGTGTGATTCCTCTAGTGGGTCACTCTTCAGAGGAGGAAAGTCTTTTGTAGAATCTGATATCAGTAGTCCATATTCTGCAAGTGGTGATACTGAGGAACAGATACAGTTGAAGCTGAGATTGATTATTTATTTTTTCTGTCCAGCAGATCAGAGACTCTGTTTTGCTGTGTACAGCTGTGGAAAATAGATGTAATTAGAGGCACTCAAGATGAACTTCCCCTTAAAGATTTTTATTTTTCCCTGTTTAAAGACTTGTGATTCATATTATAGAACGAGGGTGGGAAGAGATACTGAGTTAAAGGACCAGGAAGGTTATGAAGGAGGATTTTGTTACTGAAGAAGACTATAAAAAAAAGATCTATTGAATTGCACCCTCTGGTGGAAGATAGCCTTTTACATTCAAGATAGTTTTGTAGTGATAGGTAGAGCTGCAGAGCATAACACTCTTGTGCCTTTTAGGCAAGTTAAAAAAACCTCAGAATTTTAGCAGTTTACAGTGTTGTTCTGGCTGTGATAAATGGAAGTCCGTTGAGAAGGCTTTGGACCTCTCCTAATGATTTGCTGTTTTCATGTAATGGGAGCTTATCCTCTCTCTTCATTGTACAAATATTTCTTTCAAGATTGAGACCCTCAGATTTTAACCCAGTCTATCAGTATGTTGCTCAGTGTATGCAGTATCTTACCAGTGTAAGAAGTATGGCTAGATTTCAGGGTGAGACCAGTCTTGTTTGGTGTCTTGTCTATCGTTTTCCACCCTCCCTGCCCCCCACCTCCACTTAGCTAAGGCATCTTTTTTTCAATTTTCTGCTCCAAAGGGAACCTCTTATGTCTTGAAGGCCTTTAAGAGATACTTTTATCTTCAGGAGGACAGATTGCATTCTTCATTCTAGTCTAAATGCCTCATTTTCTTACATTTTGAATTTTTTAATGGGTACAGTGAAAACGAAGTGATTCTCACAGTTTATTGTGATTGACAATGGTACAGTGAATTGTACCTCATGTGTGTACTAACTCTGCTTCTTGTCTTTGTTTCTTGCCCTTGAATCTAGGTGGTCACATCCCATAGCTAGGTGACAAATAATGAAATTACAAAATAACAGGCTTGAAACAAAGAAGGGAGAAGGCTGGCACTCTCAAATTTTGGGATATAAAAATGAATCTTCCTAAGTTGTTTACTGCCAGTGACTGAAAGTTGATTTGTTCTGGTCTTTACAACCCAGAGATCTGGATCTACTTTATAAATAAAATTCTGATTATCAGTTGCATTATATACATTGCCAAAGCTTTATCTTTCGGGATCTTGTTTATCCACTGTTTTCTGAAAGAAAACTTGAAGGAAGGACAGCTCAGCAGGATTCCACACACACCCTGCCCCAAGACATTTATCCTTTTTTTATAATAAAAACTTCGCTTCTTTAGTATTTATCATCCCACTACAGATGTTTTCCTAGAACAGTACAAACAAGCTTGAACACACTGCCTTTTACCCAGTGTAAAGACCAGCATTATACCTATGAAGTAGGTGATCTGGTAGAAAACCATGCCCTAAGAGAAAGTGAAGGCAGGCCAAATGTTATAAGTAGGGCCACTCTCTCTTGGTAGACAAACTGTATAATTGCATATGCTTTTGGACACTCAGGTTTTCAGCAGAAGAAAAAACTTAAACTAGATGCAGGTTTGAGAAGAGTTGTTCTGAGTTTACTTAAGTCTTAACTACACCAAGGCTGCCACTCCTCAAAAAAAGAACAAAAAAGTGTTGGTTATTTTATGCTTTGTCTGATTTGAGATACTCCACTTACATGCAGGGCTCTGTGATTGCCTATAGTGACTTGGCATGCAGGATTTCAGCTCTGGTGTTTTTGAAGTAGGGTATTGTGTGCTTTATACATATACAGAAGTTCTTCTGAAAGTGGTGACATCTGTATTTTGATGACCATACTGTGACACATTTTGAAATTACTATGTTATGATCCCTCTTCCCTTAAGATTACACCACACTGAGGTGAGATTGCACATTTCATTTATTTTGACCACACATATAGTGTGGTTGCAATTGAAGTGTTAAACATAGTGAATTTCTGAGTTACTCATTCCAGCCTATAATGTCTTTGCCATAGAATGCTACTAATCCTGAAGAACTGTTGTACATTTCTGTATATAGTGGCAAGTTTTTACTCTCATCTCTCTGTGAGAAAGTTGTAAATCTTACTACACTGGGATATCATAACCCTAAAAGCTTTCAATTTTCTAGGTACCTCAAGTTGCTTCACACATCAGCTAAGCAGAATTAGTAGTAATGTTTGACAGCAGGATCTTTTCTTGTTTTTTGTGTTCCTTAAATCTTGTGCTAAGAACAGAGCTGTTGGAATTTTAACATGAATTGTTTGTGTGTTAGTCCCAGATGTGGCAAATTCTGGTTCAGCAGCAGAAACTTTTCCAGTTCAGTAGGGAAAAAAACTTTCTTGATAGTTCTTCTAGTCACATACTTGAATTCAGTAAGATAGGACTGAAATGAGAACTTAGGTGGTGATAGCTCCAGTGTGAGCATGTCTGGTTTAGTATTCCTTTGGGTATGTCAGGTTTGCTTATCCAGTTCTAAGAGTTGGAGGTAGATTATGCATAATCAAGACGTGATGCTGTGTGAGGACACACTGGGCTTCAGAGCGCAAGCTTATTGGTGTAGGGTGCTTCTGAGCAGCAGGCATAGACAAAACTGGACTGGCACTCTGCAAGCAGAGGCCAGTGCCAGATGCACAGATACTTGGACTGGTTCTGAGAGCAGTGTAGGGCCTGTTACTTGGGACTGTATGCACATGTCTGTAGTGCTTTTAAGCTCAAGCTGGTCTTTTTGCCTGGAGGTATGCTGTATGCACATGGCATCTCAGGTGTCACAGACTCCAGCATCTTAGGCATTGTATTTTGCTGTTTAGCTGTGTCTGTGTTTTATGGTTAGAACCTATTCTGAATTTCTGCAAAGTAACTGTGTGAAGCATATGTTATGCAGGCCTGTCAAGCTTAGTAAGAATGTTGCTTAGGAAATAATTTTTTTATTTGACCCTTATTTTTCTGTTTCTGGTACACTTACCGTCTTTGAAACACTTGGAAAATAGGGAAGAGTTAGGAGTTTTTGTGATTCGTGTCTACAGATATCAGTTTTTCTTTACAATCCATTTTGTTTTTATCAGCCAAGGAGCTGGTTAGTTTTCCAGTTTGGATCTGCAAGGTGATTGTATTATCTCTGGTGGACTTCTCGTCTGAAATTCTTCATCTTGTTTGAACAGCTTCGATAGTTATGTCTGCTCACAGGGTGAGGGACAGAGATGTGCAGAATATGAGGCAAAAAAAATTTATCTTGAACTCCATTTACTGTAATTTAGACACTAGTATATTCCCAGACCTTTCATCCTGCTGAAGTTCAGGAAATCGCACATAAAATACTATTTCACTGCAGGTGTCTTAATCAGTGTGAATGTGTGCTAAAAAGGAAAAGCAAAAAGCCACTGGTGACTTTTTTTTAGTCATTCATTAGCTTAGAACTGACAGAACAGTTAAAAAGGAGGAGTAGCGGACTGATAAATAGGATTTAGAGGGTTTTTTTTCCCATTTCTGATCTCTGTTATCTAATTCTACTCTTGGCACTCTGTAAAGTATTTTCAAGTAGGGAACTTTTAACTTATTTGGTTAATAAACAGTTCTTCTGAGGTTGAAAATCAGCTTGTTGCTCACATGGAAGATGTGGTCAGAAATGAACCAGGGTTGAACTGTTTTACCTAACTAACTTGCAATATTTTGACAGGTTGGATCTAAATTTGTGTCTGTTAGGTCTGTTAAGTACTCCTGTTTTAGTAAAAAAAGCTGTCACAGCTGTGGAACTAGAGATGATTTTTTTTTAAAACCACCTGAAGAGGGAAAAGTGTAAACATTCTGTCAAGAGACCTTGTGTCAAAGAACCCTACTGGTCTTGTAATTTCTGTGGTTTTTCTCTGGTTCTTACACTTGATATTTAGAGTGGAGGAAATCTAATGAAGCTTTGAACTTTCCAGGTTGCTACTCCAGGTGTTAAACAAGGACCAGCTTCACAGGCAGCACCTCAGCAACCAGTAATAGCTGACAAGCAGGCAGGTCATGAACCTGCCTCTCCACGAAGTCTTCAGCGCTCAAGGTAATTGAAACGCATCTCCGTGCTGTCCTCTGTTTTTGCTCTGGATCCAATGTGTGTTGTATATCTTGCAACTTGTGGATTCTTCTTCGGCCTGTTTATTGAACATGTGGTTTAACTGCTGCTGAGAGGATACAGCTAAATATCTTTGTTACAGAGCTACTGTGGTAGGTTCTCCATATTAGGACCACCACTAGAGTTCCATTCACAGAAGTAAAATAGAATACGTATTTTTGCTCTGTCACTCTGGAGACAATTTTACAAGTGATTCCTTGTATTGTGATTTCTGAGTTTGGAGTTTTTGGTTTTTTCTGTGCAGTTATGGGATTAAATACTTCAACTCTGTGTGACTTGCTTAGCATTGGATGTTTGTGGTGTATTGATGTAGTGTAATTTGATTTTTAAGTTAGTAAGAACTTATGTCTATCAGGCGAATTTGCTGCTTTAGTGAAAAACATTTAAAAATGAAGTAAGTTTCACAAATTATTTTCCTTGGCCAGACTTTTTGTCAACATTGCAGCCTATTCAGATGTTGCATCAGATAAACATTTAACCACTGATTTACAAGGTGGGTTTAAAATCTGTATCTTGTCTAAAATTTTTCTTTTGGGAAGATGGGCTTTTCATTGTCCAGGATGCTGTATACTTTGTCATACTGATTCCAGGGGCTATAACCAAAGATCTGTCATAAGATCTTTCAGTAACAGAGTCATGATCTAGAACTGTGGCAGGAGGAGATTGCAGGTTGACTTCTTAAAAAGTGTATCATTGCAATGGATTCCTGTAAATCTACAAGGTGTTGTGCTTCTTAAAAGCTAGATTTTTAGAGTGGTTAAATAATGTGTGTGGTATGATGTTTGTTTAAAAAAAAAAAAAAAAAAAAAAAAAAAAAAAAAA